TTCTAATTTAACTCTACAAAATCCATAAAAAATAAGGTTCTGTTTTAGTATTAACCCCTATAGGGAAATAGAGTATACTAATGGTAAATGGATAGTGATGCTAGTTTTTCTTCTCCTCACCTTTAAGGAAACTGTATGAAATATTTAGAAAGGAATACCATTTTTGGTAGGTTAGAGTAACATACCACTCGATTATCTTTCTTTTCATACCTATCAAAGATTGTTTAACCATTTCTAAAGCTCCAGTTTAATTACCACGGAAGAGCTCATTAAATATTGTTATTTGTAAGAGAGGTTTATAATATAATAGAGCTGTATTTTTGATGCAGCGTTCTTAAGGAAGAAAACACTATGTAGGGTTTTTTAGTTCGAAATTAAATAACGCACAAAAAAACTATAATACCACGGATAAAAAGCACTAGCAGTGATCTGGTGCTCTACTAAACTTATGGACCTGATTAAATTGTGTAAACTTGGTTCATCATAGAATTTGACCATGTAGATCTATTATTTTTGTTCAAGAATGTAACAGAAAGCGAGTTTGTAATAGATAAACGGCTGAACTGGTAAAAGCAGATAATAAGTTCGTTTAATTGGGCGTTGCGTTTCTAGCCATGGTTTGAAAATGAAATTGTCGAGTTACTTTCTAGAACGGTAAGCGCAAATAAACGGATTGAGGCGTTCAGTCCCCCGGAATATAGTGGCAACAAGTTAGTGTGGAATATTAAAGAAGTAATAGTAAAATGCATACCAGAAGAATGAACTGAGACCGATATTTAAAGGAAGCAAAGAGACAGGTGCTATAATAGACGCGGTGGTTAATAGCTGTGTCACAGGTCATAAGTTTGCTAACAGGTCTTATGCTATAAATGAGCCTATGCATATAATTTAAAGGTCAAACGTATGATTTTACAGTTTTTCAATGATTATATGAAACTACCAAAGGCCAAAGCAGGCTATGATGGCACTCTTGTGATAGTAAATAGATATTTACAATATGTGTGAGTAAAGAAATTGAAGCAAGAATTCACTTACGAGGTACTAAATTTATTAAAATTTATTTTTGCAAGATGTAGAAGACGGTGAAGATAATAACGGCCAAATTTACTGTGTTTATTAATTAGGGCACCCATTCAATTGGAAAGTCCTGGCTTAATATCGAGTTTTTAGGAGAATTGGTTTTTCCAGATTAAAATGATGAAAACCTATCCAATGTCATCATCGTAGTTATGGATTACCTACTTTAGCACGTTGTCCTGCCCCTTTTCCCTTCTTTTCCCTTAACAGATACGTCAACATTTTATAATAGCTAGTTTTAGCAATATCTGCAACACCTAACTAATTAAAGAAGATTATTTTCAAAAATGGTAAGTACAGTCACCGATTCCTATCTTCAGATATATGTTGCTAGATTTGAACTAGCCTTTCTTTAGGTTTTACCTAATAAACTATAACATTTTATTAGTAATGTGACCATTTCAGTAAATTCCATACATAGTTCAGTATTACTATCTAAAAATTCCTAATAGTATTTTAAGGTAGAAGTAATGATTAAATATTTTAAGTTGAGAGTACTTTTCGTGATAAAGTCTCTTCAAATTAGTAATTTTAAAGAAACCACAAAAGTAGTGTGCCTAGTAACCTGTAAACTTCTAACGAGAATTTCAACACCATTAAGGGAAGCACAGTAGTGTAAAACCAAAATTTTTTGGCTGAAGGTCTTTTAATATGGATTAGACTGCCAACAAAGTTGACTAGATGTTCGTAAGCAACTAACCGACTCTGTTTGGCTCGAAGTAAGCAAGGCTATCTTTGCGTCAAATTGCGTTTTTAATTTTAGTTATAGGCAAATTTAGTTAAACGTGCTTAATGGAACCGAAGTCCTAGGATTCTTGGTGATGAGAATAGATGCGCATTCCACTTCGAATGAAAAGAAGATAGCCTTGCTCACATTGAGCCAAATAAAGTGGGTTAGTTGTTTACGTAGCCGACTTTGTTTTGGGCTACCTTTCCCATAATAGAAGGCAATCACCACACTAATTTTGGCTCTACTCTTCTGTGCCTAGGCTAAAAATATGTCATTAATAATGCGGTCTTTAAATCCTAGATCAACAAGGTTACTATAGAAATTGAGGGATTGTACAGTTTTCAAAATTTGTTTCAATTTCTTATATATTTTGTATGATTAAGGAGCTTTTCATGATACCTAAAAAGCTGTACAATCCATATTTGTGTAATTAAAAATATAACTTTAGAAAATTAATAATTTAAAAAAGGCTTGTTACTAGGTGGTCTTTATATCAATACTTTAAACCTTTTTTTATAAAAAAAATTTATGTAATGATATGTGCCATGTAAAAAATCTAAAAAATATTTTTTCCTATACTAACTGTCATTGTCCTACACTAGTTTTTAATAATTCTGTTAAAGTGTACCTTAACTAAGGAGGAGTCCCTATTAATAATAGTTTTTAACTTAACATAAAATAATTATGGAATTTTTCTTTTCTTTTTTGAATATAATTTAGCGCTTTAAATTGTTTTTAAGTATGAATGTACTTAATTCTACCCTTTGAAGAATATTACAACAGTAAAACTTGCTAGCGTCTGATAACGTCCCACATTTTTGTGATCTTTCCCAAGTATCTAAATTTAGTAGCGGTCTTCAAGTACTGAACATTTAGGCAGCAGTTATAGACCGTTTTCTTAACTAAATAACTGTCATTTGTATTTCATGTGTATTATTTTATATGCGCTCAGAGCAAAATTTTTTAATATAACGAAGTAACAATGATGAAGAGATGAGATAGTAAATCAAATTTAACTTTTGTATTTAAAGTAGGTTCTTATCTGTGATTATTACACGTTGTAGAATGCATCAAAAACTAATAACTTATTTGTTGTGCATATTTAGCTATTAAATCTACTTTTAAAATGGGAAAGTAAATTATTGAATTTTTTAATTTTTATTATGAGTAAAGCTTTTAAAGGCAAAACTGGATATGAACTCCAAACTATAAACACACAGGCTGTTATTTTTTTACAATCAGCTTTCGTAAAACTGTCAGTTATTAATAAATTTATCATAATTGATTTTTGTAACTTATAAGAGAAGTGGATGAAACATGGGTAGATAAAGCTTAATTATAGGTTCTTATAGTTGTTTACTAGTGAACAAAGTCGCAAAATTCATTATTATAGGTTGTATTTTTAACTTGCACTAAATTCTTGAAGATAAACTATTAACTAAAATTTCTTTGCAAGCAGAAACATCTCGTCTAACGCTGTTAGGACGAAAGGGACGTGACTCCCTTATCTAACTGCACATTATCGATTTTGTCTTATAATATAATTGTCAACGATTTTTCATGTTTTTTTTAGTTTATTTATACTGACTTTGTAGACCTAATTACCGAATTTTTTTTACATATAATAGTAGCAGTAAAACTTTTTTATTCTTATAAATTTTTTTAATATATCTTACTGCTTCTATAAAATAATAACAATTATTTAAATGGTTCGTCCAACAATTAGTCGTATTTAAAATAAAAATTTCTATTCACAGATTAATTGGCTGTCTTTCGCTATATATTTCTTTTAATTATAAATTTTATTTCCTTTCTTAATATGATAAAAAATTGTGTTACCGAAAAGAAAAAATATTAACCCTCCTATACTAAGCATAGTTTCTAGTTAACATTCTTTAAGGCCATCTGCAATATCCTTTTTAGCTATTTACTTATGTATATACGTATATTAAAAAGATATGGTGAAACATGAATTTAAAAATTTTAGGCTCGGGTTTATTTCGGCAACACCAATATTATGATAATTTGAAGGTATTGAACATAATCCCCCTGACATTTCGCAGTTTAATAGATAATCTTAAAAAATATTTAATACATATATATTAATCTAGAAAAGGGATAATTAAAAAATGATCAAAATAGTAATTTATTATAAAGCAGTGGAAATAGTTAGTCAATAAAGAAAAAACTCACCCCTAACGACCTTTGTCTTTCTTAAAACGTGGGCTAAGTTGGTATTATTGCGTTAACAGAACGTTTTAAACTTTTTAAATTCAGCGTATGAAATGAATAAGCACAAAATGCAACTTATAAGTGCAGTTACAACTGCTTTTTTTAGTTTCGTTGAAAGTAACTTAAAGTTATCGATTTACTGATTTACTCGTCTCCAAAGTCCATTTCTACTACACCGGCTCCTACTCGATCCACGACTGCACGTGACTTATATAGTTAGCAAGCTTTCGCGGTATTGTTATATTCCTAGAACGACAATATCGCGGTAGTGGCTATAAAAGCGTAGTTATCTATACGCAAGGTGGGAATAAACGTATAAATAAATTAGACATATATACATAATACGGTAACTAGACCTCCCCTCTATCCACGATACGCTCCACGCAGGAGTACAAAAAATCAAATATCCTCCCAAGGGCCCGTGCTAAATTCATAACATGGCATGCTAATTTATGGTGGCATGTGGTAGCAGCGCCGCCAATGAAAACTGTCGCTGCTTGGACCTCCGCCCCTTACAATAGCCTGCTCACTAAGTGCTACAAAACAAAATGCTGTGTCAAAAAAGGAACGCGTTAGGGTCTCCAGAGAGTGTTTTTAGTATCTACAAACGCATTCCATCACTTCTTACGAATCGGTAGCTGAGCACAATGCTCTCGGTCTCTTGATACGTTCTAAGCAATGTTTTCTGTTGTTCGCTGCAAAGTTTATAGCTTATAAGAGAAGGGAACAGAAAATTGCAATAAAATAATTAAGCACTTATTAAAACCACAACATATAATATTTATAAACCGCTTTCGTCTCGAACGAGTGGCAAGCAAAGCCATATGTTCATTAAGAAATTCGCTTAAAGAGGGCTAGAGGGATAAACAGTTTTCTGTCCCCTTAAAAATATAAATCCACCTTTAGCGTGGTGAAAGTATTACCGAAAAGGGGAAGTGAACCCTTAAATGTGATACCTACCGTTCAAGTCAAGAGTTAGAGCGGTGGAGTCTACTTTGTTGCTTTGTTTTACTGCAAGAAAGAAATCTTCCCATACTGACATTAGTTTTAAAGTTTATTTTTTATGTCTATTGTAAACCTTGTTATATTTTTTAACTTGATTATTATTATTCATTATTATTTTTTTTTTTAAAAATAGAGGAGCGCAAACCGTTAAATATTCTTTAAATGAGAGCTGTTGGTGCCAAAAGAGGGCCTCGAAAGTCTCGTATCTTTGCGTTAGCAAAGGTTATATTTGTTTTTTAGAAAAAAATGAAATTCTTTGAGTTATTAAGATTAACATCTTTTAAATTTAGGGATTTAGAGGTCGTGGACGAACTTGCTTTATATTAGCCAGGAGGAGGTTATTTACAGTTAATTATTATTATTTTTTTGAAAGTAACGTTTATTCTTTATCATTAGAGTTGAAAAAGGGATGCTTTACCGTTACGTATCGAGAAAGTTAAAGAAGCGTAACATCAGGAAGCTCTGGATTACCCGCATTGGCGCTGCCTGTCAAGAACATAATTTTAATTATAGCCGTTTTATGAACGGACTGGTGAAAGTAATTGGTTTCTTTTTTTTACTTCTATAATTTTTTGAAGGTTATTAATTACTTTTTGTTAACTAGCATAACATCAAGCTTAACAGGAAAGTTTTGTCGGAACTCGCTACTACTGAGCCTCGTAGTTTCAAAGTATATTTCTTTTTTTTATAAAAATAATCATTTTTGTTTTTACCTGATAATCTTTTTTATATATACGCGGAGACTTTAGCCTTAATATGCAAACAAAAAGTGAATGAAAAAGGGCTGGAATCTTTGTTTTTATAGAAGCTGTGTTAAAACTTTTGTTAAATTTGAGCAAAACGGGAAACGCATATTTAATTAATTGTAAACGGTTTTTTTTTAGCACCATAAAAGGATTAAAAATTCTTTTATATTTTTATTTTATTTTATTATTGCTTACGTTTTCGGCAGGTTGCACTTTTAATATTATCTAGTCAGTTTGACAATAATTTTATAAGATCCAGTAAATCAAAATTATTGCGCTCCAATTGAACTTTTTCAGAATCTCTAGTTTAGAAAACGTTTAATAGTTTCTGGTATAGAGATTATTGTTTTTTAAAGTTCTCAAATAAGAATAAGTTCATTTTATTAATATATTACGTCCTGATTTGAGTTGAGAATCTATAAATTTAAACACTTGTACGTTTTGTATTTTTCAATAAAAGCGAAATTTTTATTATTTTTACGGTTTCTTGCCTGCAAGGAGGCCACAACTTGACTTGATTGGAGATAGAGAGCGGGCGGCCATAAAAAAATCTTTTAGTGGATTTTAAATTAACTATACTTTATTTTTATGTACTTTTCACAGGAAAATATCCATTCCGCGTCGGACGCTCCAGTCAATAATTTAATAGATTAAAATATACTCGATTTAAAAAATTAAAATAATTTATTAATCCCAGAACAGTTATCTGTATAGTTAGCGCGGGCAACTTTTACAGCATCTATAGAAATAATTGTTTTTAGCATGATAACTAGAGGCTCACCTACAAGGTGCCGCCCTCAACCAGAAACTTAATCATTTATAAAAAAGATATTTACCTTGAAAGTCTTTAACGATATGGAAATTAAGAAGGTATTTGGAATTAGCATATTTTTTAATAATACATACTAAAAGATAACACTTTTATATTAAATCATTACCCAGTAACCCTACCACAGTCGTATTATATTCGAGGGGTAAGCATATTTGTTATTTGAAAGAGTACTTATTTATAAAAATATTAGAATTTTTACTTAAAAGTTATAATAGAAAATAAACCCATTTGTATAATTTGAATCTATACTACGAATTAATTAATCTAAGATCCCTTCAAACCATTCGGTAAAAGAGTAATAAACTTTCTTTTGGGAATAAGCTAGATGTTATTAAATTTAATTAAAAATTAATTGACTTCAATAACTTTTTTCTATTACTTAAAAGTAAAATTTGTGATCTACATACTTGTTGGATTTCTATAAAAACCAAACAAAGTTATTATTTTCTTCAAAAAGCCAGCCACCAACAAACTGCTCATATTTTTATATTTATTAAATTAAACACAAAAATAATTCTTCTTAAAATTAATTAAGTATAGACTTTTGCCAAAGACCAGTTTGCTTAAAATCTAGAGTTTAGGTTTTGTAAATAATAAAATGTAAAAACCTGAAATTCTCCGGACTTTAGATTAGTAAGTTTACATACATTACAGGTTTGCCAGGTACTAACGGCTAGATACTAGAATTATATACAAAATATTACTAATTTTAATAATATACATGCACTAACAAGGTTTTTAAATGTGGTAATTTTACTTACATTCGGTAAAGGTTATACTTAAGAAATCAAATTTTTACTTGGGGGCTCTCTACAACCGACTCTGGTCGCCAATAAGTTTTTTTTCCTCGTTATTACTTATGAACCAGTGTTTATTCGAAGGAATCGTATATTGTGAAACGTCATAATTTTTAAATAAAAAATTCCAAATTAGAATAATTATCTATTAAAAGTTAATTATTCTCAATTTATTTTAAAAGATATAGGACAAGCATGTAGAAACAAACTCCAGCCGAAATTACCATCTCGTTAACTAATTTACGGTTTTCATAAGCCAAGTACACAGCAAAAAGCTAGTAAACCCAGAATTAAAGGCCATGTGTATGAAAATTTTTTACTATTTTAGTAAAAATTAGCAGTCATATTAACTATTTTAAACTCGCTATTATTTTTTTTTGATTAAGCTATATCTGACCGCCATTTCTTAGTTCTTTAGCTTAGACTGTGGTACCCTTTAAGTAACAAAAATATAGCAGAAGCAATATGTTTTCACTAAATAGTTCCGAACTGGACCCGGAAGAGCTTATCTAGAACTAGGTTGTAGCCGTACGTGCACTGATTACCTATGAACGTATCAGCTCACATTCTTTGGGCCTCTATTTCTAAGGGCGTTCGCTTTTATAATCGTGAATGTTTAGCCTTTATTAGCGTTTAAGGTTTGACGTACTTGGACAACCCTAATAAAAGGACGGTAATAATAATTGACTGTCGCACATTTTTAAAAAATGGTTTGCTGCAAGTCAGTGGGCGTGTATAAATAATTGTAACAACGCACTTACAAAAAACTTAATCTTTAAAGTGTTACAAGGGCCGCTACATACAAGATAAAAAACTTTTTTTGTTTTCCCATTCCTTAATTATTTTGTAGTTAAATACCAGATAAACCAATTATTTATATGGTGAGCTTACAAATCGCTTTAATAAAAAAAATTGTTTTTATTTAATTCTTGTTTGAGCATTAATGGGTTTCTGACAATCAACTACATTAAAGCCTAAGAAACAGAATAATTTATTTTATAATTATATTACTTTTTGTATTAAGCTTGAGGTCTTAAGAATTTACTCAAACTCCAAATTCTTGTTTGTTCTTATCCTAATGACTAAGTTTAAACGTATAATGCCTATAAAACTTTAGAGTAGAAGATCCTCAGCAGACGGAGTATTACATCTGCTCACTTAAGCTATTAGTTAATGAGTCCACCTGCTGTTCTAATTTTGCTTACAGATATTTTATAAGTACTAAATAATTAAACAAATGAAAAATTAAAAACCACCAAACGATTTAAGATAAATGCAAAACATAAATGTGAACTTAAAACGTAAAACCAAAAAAATTTAAAGTTATACAACCCCGAGGAAGTAATAGAAAAAAGAAATAAATAAATAAACCCTTTTAGAAATTAGTAGTTCCCCAAAAATAAAACTATAAAAAAGCATTAGTTTTAATTAATATTTAAAATAAAATTATACAAAATGAACAAATCTCACTAATTTAAATCGATTATAACACTAAAACATAAAAATACAAATACACAACAAAGTAACAGAGTAAAAAAACAATAACCCGAAAGACAAGAAAACATAAAATAAAGCACATTATAAACAACACATAAATAAATGCATTAACATAACACAATAACGCTAAATAAAATTTTATCGAACCTCTTGAAAAGTAAATAATCAGTAAAAAATCTCAACCAATGAAAAGTAGTTTTGGTGAAAAATTCTTCATCTGCATTAAACAATTTTTTGTAATTTGGTAGAAACGGGTTAATACATAGATATAAGAATATAATATTATCCCTTCCTTTTTTACGTCTACATCGTTGGTGGTACATAAATTCTGACACGTCAAATATATATAAATTGTATTATACACGATACTACTATATGTACATCGATATATATATAAATTTTGATAGATTAATATTAACCGGAGAATAATTTGTTTTACATGGGTTTAGTAAGCGTCTCGCGTGGTTTCTCAGTAGTACCACTAACACTAAAAACTTAAAAGTGCTCTTATAGTTAAATTTGACCACGACAAACAATAAGACCAAATTAAACAATTTTTAATTAGTGATATATATTTGCTTGTAAAAAATTTTACAAACTAAGTTTTGGCGAGTTTAAGCTTAGAGCAATCTACTAAGAGTTCACTTTCGAAATAACGTGTCCCAAGGGCAAGCATTAACATAGTAACATAACTTAACTTGTGAGAAATTTATAATATAGATTATAATAAATAATTCGCCCAATTTATTATTCTATTGTTTAAATTTTAAATTTAAACGCATATCACCTTTAGAAAAAATTTTGTTAAATAAGGCTGTACTCATAATTATTTGGCATCATCAAATTATATATACTTGAAAATTTAAAAACATTAAATGTTTTAAGACCTTTGAAAAGAATACATTACTGAACTAACGAATATAATAGGAGCTCTTAATAACTCCCGCTTGAATAACTGGAAGAAATGCAGGCCGTTTCTCAAGAGAAACTCGTCTTCCTCCGTGAATACTTTTTACCACTAATATTAGAAGTTAAGGTAATAATTTAAATAGTGATAAAAAAAATAATATGGATATTATAAATTTGAAAAGTAGCTCCGAGCTAGCCGTTTATAAGAAACTTTCGAACTTGGGTACCCTTATTACGGATTAGTCGCACTCTATTAGGATTTAGAAAAAAATATAGGAAAAAATGAATAAACAATAAAAATATGTTTAAGTTTAGATAAAAATAACTAATAAAGAAATAAAATTTAAAAAAAAAAGTGTAGAGACAAGGAGAGATATTTACATTAACCGATGCAGTTGTTAATTATTCTTTTTAAGTTTAATATATCATTAAATAATCGAAGATAACTAGATTAATTGTTTTATTGGATATTGGATTAAATAATTTTTTTTTTCCAACCATGAAAATAAATAAGAAGCTAATCAAAAAATGATATAAAGCGTCAATTGAATTGAAAAGCAATCTATTAATACAGTTGATAAGTTATTATAAAGTTCCTTTAGCAAAAACTGAAGGCGAAGAGAGATTTTTTCTAACTGTTTATTTTATTTTAAACGTTAAGGCACTATAGCTTAACCGCAAGAGAGTTACGGAGATATACTATTCCCAGGATACGATAGCTAATTTGCTAGCTACCATCAGAGATCTGCAAACAAACTTATTGCGGAACTGAGAATTAAAGAGAGTCTTTCGCAGGAGAAGGTTCCTAAAAAACGAAAGAGAGAGCAACAACCCTTAGAACTTTCAACAAGAAATATTTTTGCTTTCTCTAATTTGATACTGGCCAAGGTACTGTTAATAACGAACATACTGTGAGCTCAAATCGCACCGATGGAGATCTTAAAAGTTTAAGCATAAATACAACTCAAAGTTAGAAAAACAGGACCAATAATAAAATTAATGCTTCATATAGTAATACAAATACTAACAATATTA